AATCAGGAACAAACTGAGAGCGTAGAATCTCAACTCACAACTTGTATTCGGAAACTGAAAGACCAAGTTTTCGTTAGTGAACAAGAGTTAGAATCACAAAAACCCACAGGCACTGTCCCCCCAATGCTCTGCTTTTGCCTAAGATGCACAAACCAGACTTTGGAATGCGACCAATAATAGATAGGTGCAATGCACCATATCATGCAATTGCAAGGTGGCAGACAAGCTGAAACCGATTCAGCACCAATTAGCACCGCACAACCTACGGGACACGTTTGCATTCGTCGAGTTCATAGGAAACATTAATTTCAATAGGAAAGCGATGCTATCCCGAGATGTCGCGTCTCTGTGCACTAACATACCGCTCACAGAAACCACATGATTTTTGTGTGACGAGATTGTTAAACAGGATTTTACAATCGGCATGCCGATCGAAGACCTAAAGAAACTAATCTTAAGCTGTATATTACACGTGCAATTCGGCTTTTATGGCCAACTTTACCGACGAATATATGGTATTGCGATTAGATCACCTCTCGGACCACTATTAGTTGATGCCTTCATGGGCAAACTGGAGAGCACCAAAATTTCCCCATTATAAAGGACCTTCCTATGCTCGATATGTGGATGATATATTTGTAATAGCAGATGGAAGACTTGGGCTGAACAAGTTCATAGATAAAGTGAATCGGTTGCACTCAGCGAGAACTTTCACTTTGGAGAAAGAGGACAGACAGTGTCTCTCCATACAGGACGTCGTTTTTAGTATAAGGTCTGATGGAACAATTACGTGAAGTCTATTTCGGAAGAAAACCTTGACAACACAATACACTCATTTCTAAAGTTTTGTCCCGCTTAGTTAGAAACTAGTCCTAGTCTGCTGCCTGACGAACCGAGCTAGGAGAATATGTTCTTCAGACACACAGGAGGACAAATTCACACTCATAAAAAATACCCTACAACAAAATGGCTTTCCCGAAAAGTTCATCAACAACGTTACCGAGGGACGTTCACCAAAATCGGAAGTGCCGAGGCCGAGTAGAAAACTGTATTTCTTAGATTGGACTTTCAAAGGGATCGAGTGGACCTAAGTCTCCTGTGGCCGAAAACCAGCTCAACATCCACCAACACGCTTCCTAATACGCCGCGAAACAGTAATGAGGCTACGATGGCAAGCAATCCCAGGTCACCCATACTGTCAGGAGACGATGACACCTTGCGTTCTCACACCCCTAACAAAACGCGAGACAAGGACGACATGAACTAATTGTCGGGCCCCTTCTCCTCCCCTCCTTCACCCACCCTTTCCCCTCTCTGGTCCCCAATTAACACTAAAACTTGACGTCTTTGCTCCCTTTACACCTCCTTTCCTTTTCTTCCTAATTACCACTGATTGGCTGCTTAAACTCTCTTTAACTCTAGCCGCCTTTATATTATTGTATTTGCTGATGATGAATAAATCGAAAACTTTCGTTCGCCTAACTCGAATTCCTGAATGCTTAAATTGATATCCTCGCTGAACTTCTTTCATTATCTGCAAACTAAGTATCTTCGTGATCGAAACACAAAATATAAGTGGGTGCGTGCAGTAGTTATTGTTCCCGGGGCACGGAGGGCTGGGGTCTGGCGCGCCGACTGCCCTATACAATGCCGCAGGTTCCAATGGCGGCAAGCGTGAACTGCCAGTAAATTTGTGCGCCTGCCACCACTAACTTGTGGTTATGTTCTTCAGCCAAATTGCTAGAGACAACCTAGAAGATGTAGAAGATCCTCAAAAGTTTAAACA